TGTAAACCTGGCGATTCACAGACCTGTACCCCTGGGGGAAAAATATATGTTTATAAAAAATAAAATTAAAAAAATAAATAAAAAAAAAGACTGAATGAAATTGGCTAATGCTAAAGGGAGCCGTGGTTTGTTCCATAGTTATTATTCTAGTACTTTTGGTTTTTGGAACTGTTGTTATGAGAAATTGTTTCTCCCAGGTTCCAGCATTTGCTTAGGGAGTGCTTTTCTCTTTGATTTGCTAAGAATTTGATTTCCTCTCATGGATTTCTCAAGGAGTCCCGTTAAGTCGTACCATTGCCCTTCACAGCACGGAGCTTTAATACAAACCATGCATATTTTAACTCTGTCCATGGGAGTGATATCTGTGCCTTGGACGGCTCTGATCTCCTGTGAGCGAGGGGCATAGCGACTGCCGCAACATAGCAATGGAAAGTTCTTTTTCAGTAAAGTCCTTATGAAATCCAGGACTGAGCATACACAATGCAGCATTGTCTGTATTAGCACTTATCAGGCACAAACCAATCCAGCTTCATGAAGCTGAAGTCAAAGTTCATGAGAGAAGGCACATCAGTTGTGCTTTTAAAAATTTTTAACCAATAACACAGAGTATGTGGAATTCCTTAAAAATGAAACACTGTAACAATTCCTCCTTTATGAGGAAACTAGAATAGTCAGATTCATGGAGATAGGGGTGGAATGGTGGTTCTCAGGGGTTCCCAGGGGCTGGAGAGAAGGGGAAGAGGGGGTTTGTGTTTAATGGGTACAGAGTTTCAATTTGGGACGATGAAGAGTTTGGAGATATTTGGTGATGATCGTTACACAACAGTGTGAATGTACTTAATGCCACAGAACTGTACACTTAAAAATGGGTAATATGGTCAATTTTATGTTATACGTTTTACCCCAATAAAAAAAATTAGAAAGGACACTCTATCCTGTGGATTGTCAGACAGATCTGTTTACTGAGAATCCCATCTGAGAATGCATTCTCTCTCCATACTGAACACAGTTTTTATTCTTTTCCTTTGGGTGTTATGTTCAGGATTTTTAATTTTTTTTTAATAACTAAAGTTATGTCACATTTCCTTCTGTGACAAAGGGAAAAATTAAGTGGGGTGCATTCATCTTCCGCCATCTGCTTGACAGCTCCTCTGAAGCCTTCTGGAAGCTGAAGGGCGTCTCTCCGCTGCCACTTCCTTGTCCACTGGCTCAGGGGAGACCTGCCTTCTGCTGTCTTCAAGTACAGTGTAGTCACAGAAGAGGGAGGTAGAGTTAGGGTGACGGACCACGACACAACAGCCGTTGAGAACATACTTTGTGACTCACAGATCCTGGGGGCACGCCATGCCTTGAGGCCACCCACAGACACTCTAGGATCAGTCAGGACGCAGAGGGAGAGTGGGGAACCCCGAGCCTTGCCGTCATCCATAGAGATCTCACACGCATACTGGGCCCCCAGGCAACATTTTACCACATTTGATTCACATCAACCTCTGGTTTTATTTTTTTTCAAAAAAAGATTTTCTTAATTAAGAAAAAATTACAGATACACCAATGTCCCACATCCTGCACTGTAGAGGGCCTGTTTGTTTTCCCACTTCTGTCACACAGAGTTTTAAATTTTAAATTAGATGATTTTATTTGTCCTTGATTATTCTTTCTTTCTATTTTTTGTTTAATACCTTCTTTCTTACTCCATGTCGTGTAAGTATCTTCTGTGTTTTCTTCTAAGTTTTAAAGTTTTGCTCTCTACCTTTGTTTTTTTTTTTAAAATACATTTAAAAAATTTCCAGCTGGGATTTATTGCTGTGTTCGGCCTGAAGTAGGGTCCTAATTTTGTCTTTTTACATATGAATATCCAATGGCATCATGATCTCCATTGATCTGTGTGCCACGTGTGTGTGTGTGTGCGTGTGTGCGCGCGCGCGTGTGCGTGTGTCTGTGTGCACGCATCTGCATCTTCTTTTATAGGTTGTTCTACTGTTCCATTGAGCTGTTTGTCTGCTGCTCTAATACCACACTTTTCAGTTGCTCTGGCTTTATGGTTTATGGTACCTTTTGATATGTGTTAGGACTTAACCCTCTCCTCTCCTCTGCCCGCTCCTTCTCCCCCGACGTGGGACTAATCATCCTTTATCTTCAAAGTTGTCATGGCTATTCATGGTCCTTTAGGAGCATCTGGTCAGATTTTAACTGGATTTCACTGAATTTATATATAAAGTACTTGAGAGTAAGGCTAAATTTATGTTATTGACCTTCGCCTTCATGAACATCTTCCTATGACTACATTTGTGGAGTGTTAATAATTTATCAGTTTTGTTGTTGTTGTTGTTAAATTTATCCTATGTACAGCTCAGAATCTTTTTTCTATTACAAATGCTAACTAAAAAAAAAAAAAAAACCCAAACCCCCAAAACCAAAACCAAAAAACAAACCCTCTCCCTATCAGTTTTTGTTGCCTTACACTGTGTTTTATATGATTGTGTTTCCAGCAACTTTGCTGGAATTGTCTAAGTTTTTTATAGCTTCTCTTTGATTTTTTTTTAATAGAGGAATCATGTCCTTTGTAAATAATGCCATTTTGTTCTCTTCTTTCTATTTCTTATTCTTCTCATTGCTCCCCCCCCGTCTTATTTTGCATAGATGCACTGATACCTGATGTCCTTGGGTTTTATCTGATATTAAAAGGTAAAATCCTAAGGTTAGACTGTTATGCATGATGTTTGTAATTCTGATAGATACATTATTAGAGTAAAACTATTTTGGGGGGGCACCTGGGTGGCTCAGTGGTTTAAAGCCTCTGCCTTTGGCTCAGGTCATGATTCCAGGGTCCTGGGATCGAGCCCCACATCGGGCTCTCTGCTCAGCGGGAAGCCTGCTTCCCCCTCTCTCTCTGCCTGTCTCTCTGCCTATTTGTGATCTCTCTCTGTGTGTCAAATAAATTAATTAATAAATAAAATCTTTAAAAAACAATTTTTTAATTGTATATATATTTATCTATACATATACTTAAATATATTTCATTTAAAACACATTGAAATGTAAATTAAAGTCACAGTTAAAATTCTGTTTTATAGGACCATATATAATCCACACACAGTGAAATGCACAAATTTGAAATGTACAGTTTGATGAGTTTTGAGAAATGTATATATCCATGTAACTTACACCCTGTAAAGCTGTGGAATGTTTTCCATCCAGAGTTCCTTTGCTGTTAATTCTTCTCCATTCCCTGGCCAGACGAATATCAGTCTGATTTCTATCCATATAGGTAAATATTGCCTATTCTAGAAACCATAGAAAGATGGAATTATACTGTAGACATTCTTTTCTGTCTGTCATCCTCTATTCAGCATGTTGTTGTGGATATCAGCAGTTTATTTCTTTTTTATTACCAAGTAGTACTTCATTACATAAATGTACTATAATATGTTTATTCATTTTCCTCTTACTGGACATTGGGGTTGTTTCTGGTTTTTGACTAATATGACCTAAGCTTTTATGAACATTCTTGTCATAAGTCTTTCTGTGTTTTCATTTTACTTGGGTTCAGATCTGTAAGTGTAATTATTTGATTGTAGTGCAGGCATATGTTTAACTTTATGAGACGCTCCCAAAACTGTACCATTTATTATTGTTACCCACACTGTTGGAGAATCCCAATTGTTCTATATCTTTATCAACATTAGATGTTGTCTGTCCTTTTTATTTTAGCCATTCTAGTGGCTGTGAATGGATGACTAATGGTTAAGTACTTTTCCCACTTCATTTTTAAGTACTTTTTTTCACATGAAAAAATAGTCATTTACACATTTTTCCTTTGTGAAGTTCCTGTTCAGATATTTTGCCATTTTTTGTTGTTGTTGTTGGATTGTCTTTTAACTATTAAGTTGTAGTGGAGCTATTTATGTATTTTGGAATCAAGTCTTTTGTCAGGTATATATTATTACTCCTACTCTATTTTCTCCTACTTGGAAGACGTCATTTCTTTTTTTAAAAAAATTATATTTTTGTAATTTCTCCAGTTTATTTTGAAAACAATCTTTTCTGACATGGATCCAAATGAATTTTAGATTAATTAATTCACAGTACACAGCAATGACCTATATGTGCCTATAAATTAAGCACTGATGAGTGCTCATTCACATATCAATATTTAGGTATTCTAATGTAAAAGAACTTTTTGCTAACTTTTTAATTATTTTCACCTCCTAAGCTAATTTATTTTTGACATTTGGGTTATATATACAACTAAAAGGAGACACGTTCTGCAAACTGACCAGGAGATAAACCAGCATACAAGTGTCTTTTCTGGATGGGATTGAATTTCCAGGGGCAAAGGGGTTCAAATGGGAGCAAATAAGCGATTTCTTTATAAAGTAAACCAAATAAACAAAAGCTAGGGAGTATTAAAAGTGCTAAGATTTTGGCCATTCTAACTGGTGCAAGGTGGTATAAAAAAAGGTGCTAAGATTAATTCCACAGACACAGGTGTGTACTATGAATATGTGTGAATTAACACTTTTTGTCTAGATTGTGAGCTCCCATGCATGGTAAAAGGCCCTGGTATAAGGAGGTAGTACAGGGGAACAGTGGGCATTCATCCTTACCAAGTTGTCCATAAACTTAGGGTAGAGGTAGAGCAGAAGACTTATCAGCCTCAGTGGGCTCAGATGTTGAACTGGGTCTTAATCATTTCATCATGTCCTATTTTGTTGGTTCCACATTTTTTGTAACTGGAGAAAAGTAGGAGGTTCAGCTAGTCTAAGAAGACTTTATATATCCCATACACAGTCTCGATCAAAAATTTTTATTTGTTATTTTGCAAAACACAGCACCTAAGTTTCATCTTTAATTATTTTTTAAGAAAGAGCAAGTCAACTAAAGAAACAGCTGTGGGCTTGAGCTGTGGAATGGTCTTGCACTTTGACACATGGTGTGGGAGATGCAGAGGCTGGAGGGACTAGCCCCATTGGCTGCATCAAGGAATGGATGCAGTGTCAGCATACTTTCTCCAGGAATGCTCTACAGCACCTTATACACTGCCGGTAGGTAGTCTTGAAGCTGGAGTCACTCTCATAATAGGGATCTTCCCTGATATGTCGCTTTCATGGATAATAGCTCCAAGTGGTTCAATTTTAGCTTTGCCATTTTTAACTTGCTTCCTTTTTCTTTTTTTTTAATTTTTTTTAATTTTTATTTTTTTATTTTTATTTTTATTTGTTTATTTATTTTTTAATAAACATATATATATATATATATATATATTTTTCCCCCAGGGGTACAGGTCTGTGAATCTCCACGTTTACAAACTTCACAGCACTCACCATAGTTGCTTCCTTTTTCTATTCAAATCTTTCAGATTGCTTTCCTCCATATATAATATATAATCAAATGTAGCAAAGTCTTCTTGGTCACCTGCCTGGACAACGCGATTCATGGCAGTACTGTGCCCTTTCAGGCCATTGTGCCTTCGATAATCAGGAGGGTTTTCTGTTTCATGCTTGGATGTTGTGGCACCGTTAACCTTCCATTTATCGAGAACATTCTGATCAGTTACAAGTTTTCTGAAAATCGCTTCTGCAGTGAGTGATTGACAGATGCTACCCAGACCCACCAGCAGCGCTGAGGTGCGCACCTGCTTGGCCATCTTCCCACGCACGCCGAGGCAGCCGCTAACTGCATCTGAACATTTCTCCTGCTCATTTTCATAATGGTGTCTTCTGATGAGTTAACGTTTCTAATTCTGATGAAGTCTGTTTGATCTGTTTTTGTCCTTTGTTGTGTTAATGTGGTTAATTATGCTGAGGATTTTCAAATGTTAAGTAACACTTTTTCCTGCATAGACCATAGCTGATCATGAAATACACTTTTTACAAATTGCTGGATTTGATTTACTTACTATTTGGTGAAGTATGAATGAGAGAAATTGTCCTGTGTTTTAGATCAATCTTATGCTGCCCTCATAAAATCATTTGAGAAGTATTCTTTCTCTTGAAAGTTTGTGTAAAACTTGGTATTTCTTTCTTCCTTAAATGTTTGATAATATTTAATAGTAAAGCCACTTTACTATGGAGCTCTTGAAAGTAGGTTTTAAATTGCAAATTCTATTTCTTTAATAGATACATGTTTCTTTTCTCAGTTCCATCAAATAGTATATTTTGATGCTCTGTTATTTAGCTATTTTGATACTTCAAGTATTTTCATGCTCCATCAGAAGCATAAACATTTAGGATTGTCTACATACCCACTTTATCGTTATAAAATATTCCTCTTTATTTATGTCAATACTCTTTTTTTCCTGAAGTCTACTTTGTCTGGTAGAAATACAGTTACTTCAGGTTTCTTATGATTACTGCTGGCATGATATAGCTTTTTTCCCACTCATTTTAACCTATCTACGTCTTTTATGTTTCAAGTGGGTTTCCTGGAAACATACTATAGTTTGATATTGCTTTTTTATCTGGGCTGATAATCTCTTTCTTTAACTGGACTCTTTAATTCACTTACAATCAGTGCAGTTACTAATATGTTTGAGTGTAAGTCTACTGTCATGCTATTGGCCATGGCTATTTCTATTTTTCCTCGTATGTAATTTTTTCTTTTTTATCTCTGTCTTCCTTTAGAATTGAGTATTATTTTTAGTATTCTATTTGATCTCTGCTCTTGGATTATTATTATCCAACTTCGTTTTATTTTCCTTGCTGGTTGCTCTAGGGTATTTATACAATGCACCTTTAATAGTCTTAATTCAAACAGCATTATACCATGTTATGTGTATATATACATATATATGTATATATAAAATATTTATATTAATAAATGTGTATTTATTATTATATATTTATATTTATATATAATAATATATACAACTCATATGTAGCTATTATTATTCTTTTTCTTTTACATATGTAATAAACCCTAATCAGTAAGGGCTTTAAAATTAAATTATTGTTCTCTTTCCTAGGATAAATTATTATTTTTAATACAGTGCTGGAGTTTTACTAATTCTTAAAGCATTTTTCATCTGTATTTATAAGTGAAATTAACTATAATTTTGTATCTTTATACTAGCTTTTTCCATTCTTGGTATCAAGATTATACCAGTCTCATGACATGACTGGGAAGATGTCCCTCCTTTTATATTCTTTGGGAACCATCCTACTGTACCTGGACTAGTGCAGTAGCCTGAGAGCTGTTTTTTACCCCTTTACTCTCATCTTATCATATATCTCTACCTCCAAGTCCATGTGCCGCTGTGCGGTGATTTTTCTAAAACACACATCCCTTGCCTAGAACATGAAACAGTTCATGGCTCATTTTAGCGACTTAGTAATTATTTCCTTTCGAGGGTTTCTCTGGCATCATGCAAGCTGAAGTGATGTCACGTGACCACAACTGGCTGGCATTGGGTCATGGCAGCTTTTCTACCACCCTATTCCCGCTTCCTGTGGTGCTTCAGTTTCGCAATAGTGTCTGTTAACAGCTAGCTCCTCCCTGCCATTTTTCACGCAGTTACCTGTGTGTTGTGATTTGAGGTCTAGTTAGATGGGAAACATTTAGGGAATGGTCATGCGTATAGCATTGCAAATGCAGCGACCTAACATTCTCTGCATTTTTCCTGAAGTTGGGATCCAGAGCAGACTTTTACAAGAGGGATAAAATATTTAAATATTTGGTCTAAAAATCTGCCCATTTAAAAGCTGTGTCTTCACAGAGGCAGCTGCACCTCTGAGGTCTAGCTTCTTCTGAGAGCTAGGCCTTCAGGAGATGCAGGTGACATGCCATTTCCAAAACTTTTGGAAAATAACTATGTTAAAGGCATATTTTTTTCCATTTTAGTGTATCTTCTTCACTGTTTTCCCATCTTCAATAAATGGTGGGATTTCATTGGTCTTCCTCATGCCCTTGTAGAAAGTGGGACAGAGCACTATAACGGAATCATCCCAGTTTTATGGAGGAGGACTTGGAGACTTACAGAGGTTCTGTCAGTGGCCTGGGGCACGCATGATCATGTAGTGGAACAGAGATGCAAAATGGGCCCCGTGTCAGGCTTGGTTTGGGTCTCAGTGTCCTGGTCTCAGCATCCTGGTTTCCTCTTCCTGAGCACCACTTTCCTTATAGGATGGACATGGGGGATTAAAGACCACAGGAGGTAAAGCACCAACATCGTGTCCCACACGGAATTGTTCAATAAATGCTATGCCTGTAATACATGTCAGATAAAGTTCCTGCCACTGGGAATTGAAGTACTGTCTATCATTCTATCCAATGATTCAAGAGATTTCTGGAGCATTGACTTTCCGGGTGCCAGGCCTTTTGTCTGGTCCTGTGAGGGAAACAAAGGAGACTGAGCAGTGGTCTCCAGCCTTCTGGCATCACTGACTGGGATCTAGAATCACAGTGTGGCATCAGGAGGGCAGTGGGAGCAGGGATGGGGAAGGGATTCATTTTGCCCGACAGCGTTTCGCAAATCTTGAAGGAAGAGTGGACTTTGATCAGACAGGGGCTGTGGGGCAGGGCGCTCACGGGGGAGGGAGGGCATCCTGTGGCCAGACCATGGTGAACTGACGTGCACGTGCTTCTGCCAGGGTCCCCAGGGGTCTTGAATTAATAGTCAGCCCTGCTCTAGATTCTTTGTCACTGTGTCTTTTCTTTGAAATGAATGGAGCTTTTTCATCTTTTATCCTTATTTTCTCTCCTCTCTGGGTCACAGCAGCAGATTGTTTTATTTTCCTGTGATAAAGTGACCAGTCTGGCTAGTATTTCAGTTATCATTTATGGGACAAGGCCAATATATTTCTTTCCAATATATGGCGCTGGCTAAATTGTCCTCTCCTTTCCTCTTTGTGTGACAACCTTCAGCCTATTTGAAGCATCGGAGAAACTTTCTGGCAGGGACATTTGACAGTCATTTATTGTACAGTCTGCTGCCTTGGGCTGCTGTCCGTGCTTGAAAGCAAAAAAGCTGATTTTGAGCTGGTGACCATGTCCCGATATGTTAACCAGGCCCCCTGGTGCATTATAACATGGTGTTTACATCACACCCAATCACCGGCTTATTTGGGAGTGGGTAGAGTTTCATCTGTCAGTTGTACCTTTAGGGTTAGCTTAAGCCAAGGGTGTTCTATTTTTTCCCCCCTAAAATCATCAAAAATTGAGTTCCAAGTGGTAAACCACCAAAGTAGAGTTTCAGCAGCTTATTCCTGGGACTGGGAGTGGGGGAGGGGACACTTGATTAAATTTATAGAGTGAGTGTTTGTTGAATCTCATTGCCAGTGCTTCTACTTCATGAGAGTGGGAGGCGTGGTTGCCGCCCTAAAGGGACTTAAAATAGAATCATGGGGAAATATGCATACATATTAGATAAAATAGCAAGATGTCATCAAGTGAGCTAAAGCGCTGTAAAATGTACTCACAAGTGCAAGCAGAGAAAGCATTGAATCTATATATATACTCAATTTAGGTCAGTCATGACTTCGATCCCCAGTAAATGTTAAATAATGGCAATGATAAAATTACTTACAATCACACATAATAATCCAACCACAGACATATCTATGTCCTTAGGATCTAAAAAAAAAAAAATTGCATTTTAGATTTCAGAAAGAAAAAATGGCATTTTCTTGTTTTCCCAATGTTTTCATGGGGAAGGGGACCTGCAGTCATTCAACTGGAGAAATTGTCCAGAAGATGAGGGTTGGCCAGGAAGGGCTGGGGTCTACGCTGGACAGGGTGAGGGATACTTTGACCGAATAAAGATTTTCTTTAACTCCATTGCAAGGAAGGGAAAACCTGGCTTTTCACTCCTTCACCCTGGAAAGTTTTGGAGCAAATAGAACACAGCAAAACAAAATGTAATTTGGAACCTGACGTTGAAAGTCAACAAGGAAAGTTGGAAAGAGTTGCTGACAGTTCTACATCAATAAATAACTAGACCAGATGGAAGGACCAGGTGACAAATATTACCAGAAAATTCTAACACTGGCTAAGCAGTGTGGATTTTCCCCACCATTCCTCCACAAACTGCTTGTGTCCTGTGGATTTTTCAGACTCATTTCTAAGAAGTCAGCAAAAGAATAGAATTTTGCTTTATGGTCCCTGTTTGAAGCTCTTGGGCAAACTATAAACCCCCAAAACTGAATCAGGGAGAAATTGACAACCTGAATAGACCGATATCTGTAACGAGATTGAAGCAGTGATCAAAAACCTCCCAAAAAACAAGAGCCCGGGACCTGATGCATTCCTTGGGGAATTCTACCAAACTTTCAAAGAAGAAATAACACCTATTCTCCGGAAGCTGTTTCTAAAAATTGAAGCAGAAGGAAAACTTCTGGACTCTTTCTATGAAGCCAGCATTACCCTGATCCCCAAACCAGGCAAAGACCCCACCAAAATGGAGAATTTCAGACCAATATCCCTGATGAATATGGATGCTAAGATTCTCAACAAAATCCTAGCTAATAGGATCCAACAGCACATTAAAAAGATTAACCACCATGACCAGACGGGATTCATCCCTGGGATGCAAAGATGGTTGAACATTCGCAAATCAATCAGTGTGATAGAACAAATCAGTAAGAGAAGAGAGAAGAACCACATGGTCCTCTCAATTGATGCAGAAAAAGCATTTAACAAAATACAGCATCC